AAGCAAAAACGAACACGAGCATACCCTCGGAAACACGGAATCACTTTTGCAATTTTTCAATAAAAATAGGCGAGCTTATTCTCCGGCGCTCTCCGATGTGGAGTCTAGGCAAAGACTTTGCGAAACAGCACCTGTAGCAGAAAGCTGTTGCTTCTTTCTCATCCTCGTCAAACATTGTTTTCTTGCCTTTCGGGGGTCCTTTTTGAAGCAAAAACAAACACGCGCATACCGCCGGCAACGCGGAGGCCTTTTTGCGCCTTTTGACTAAGCAGGCGCACTCGACCCACTTCCGTACTGGAAGCATGATATCACCTTGCATTTGGACTTGCTGCAATAAAAGCAGTAAAAAATTATCAAAGTCGTGGTCTGCAACTCGCTAGTCTAGTTTGGCACTTCATTGAATAAGATGCTACTGCTAGCTGCGGCTGCGGGCCGCTCTAGTGCAAGTGCTTGGTAAAGAAACAAGTTTTCATCTTTTTTCAACTCGAGGAATCGACGAACAAGCACGAAAAGATGCAGGTGGAGGTGAGTCTGACGCGGAACCGGAATCTTACCGGCTCTGAGCTGATTTTGAAAAACCTAACGTCCACAATCACCTGCGGAAACAGACAGCATACGGCGAGTCTGTACCATGAGGGGCAATATGAAATGCAAAAGCATCGTACTAGTATAAATTGCATGACAAATTCCCTCAGCATGAAAAATGAAACTTGTAATGCGGATTTAGATTAGGAGGGATATTTGTAATGCATGATTGCGATTACTACGAGTACGATACTTTTGCACAGGATAGGCAAGTGTTCAGCTTCGAGGAGGAGCAGCAGCAGATATGCATTGCAAACATATATGTCTGGGAGGATTAGAAACTTGTCTTGCTGATACTCGCATTGCAGTGTGGCCGCTTGTACGGCAGAACAGCATCAGAAGTTTTTCAGGCTCGATGTAGCGGGGGATTCATCAACATTCATAAAGAGCAACACAAACTGGTTTCCAGCATGAGAAAATCACTAGCCAATCGTATTACTGCATCGTAGATCCTCTTGTCCTTCAACTATCGCATCACAAAATTTCCAGACCCAGACTACACATTTGCAATGCATAACAGACCCTGGTGCTCCAAATTCAAAATCAGCAGACCAATATCCTGTGCAAAAGTATCTGATACTCGTATTGCAATCATGCATGCAGTCCACTGAATTGTCGTATAGACTGAGTTGTAGCAGAATACGAAAGCAAAGCGAAGCGAAGCTTACAGCGTATTGTATACCGAGCGAGCGTTTTCAAAGCAAGAACACGATTGCAAGCGAATCGCTTAAGCCTAACCATTTTGACCCTTCCGTCGTATATTCACCAAATCCCAAACAATGGCGAGCTCTCTGAATTGTCGCACCCCGAAGCAATTCAACGTAGAAAATCAATGCAGCCTAGCGCAGCCGCTCAATGATATAGCGCAGGGGAGCACCAGAAAAAGCTGAAAAAGTAAAAAGCTAAGGGATTATGAGCAAGCGTTGCGTGAGCAGATTCAGAGAAAAACTCTGGCGCCTCGACGCGCAGCTTGCATGACAAAAATGAAAATGAGGAAGGAAAGCCTGCGCTTTCGCGCACGGAGCGCGATCTGTTGTTATCAGCGTTGCATCCGTAGTTGCAACGAGAACAAGAGCAAACGAAGCAGAAGTTAGCTTTTCTAGCGAAAATAACAGCAGAACGAGCACGAGAGTAAAGTAGAGAATACGAAAAAACGAAGACTATACTCGAAGAACAAGAAGTTAATAGTTGAGTGTGAAAATAAAGGAAATAATAACAAAACGAAGACAGTAGATGCAAAAAAACTGCGCATGTGGAGTCTTGGAAGTGCAGCTGCTGGGCAGGTTGGTCGAAGCGGAGGCAACAAATCAACTTGCTTGGTGCGCTGCACTTCATGCTGTGTCTATATCTTCCGAAGGGCTATGCAATAACTAAACGAACGTAGGAAGAAACAACGAAGAACGACACAAACAGAAGAAGTCTATGAACCGAGAATAAAGGTGTTTGAGCCTTGACAAGAACAGTGCTTGTCATGAGAAGTAAAAGGGGCAAACTGGCAAAAAAAAGAGCGAAATAGCGTAAAGACACTTGCCGCGGCGCAATTGTAAACACAAAAAAAGAGACGAAGAGCCTACGCTTCTACATTCTTAAACGCAGACAAGGACCGGCGACCCTCCGAAGCCGAGGACGTGGAGGCCATGCGGTGAAGCTCTTGCAGCTCCGGCGGGGCGCGCGGCTCGATTGTAGTAGTGCGCCAAGTTGTTGGCATTCGCAGAAACTGGCCCCCCTGGAAATTTCTGGTAAGCGCCAGCGGGATAAACACAACGCAAGGGCAGCGCTGCGCACGCCACCACGCCATGGGCGCCGCTTCATAGATGCGCCAGATGATGCTGACCCCTGTGACCCCTTCGATGCGAATTCGAATGCCGCGCGTAGCAGCCTCGACCCGACTAACGGACCCGCGTATGTTCGTTGGGGTTTGTCGCGGGCCCGCCGTTTCCAGTTCAGCAACGTCAGCGTAGGCGTTTGTTTGCGGATATGCCGTGCCAATTTGCCGCGGCAGCGTTTTTCTTTGTACCAAAAGCGAAAAAAGAGACGCAAGCAAGCCCGCGGGGTAGGGCGGGTTTCTGCATGCAAATGGGCGCGCGGCGCCACAAAGAAAACGCGGCGCGGTAAATTGGCGTGGCATAGCAATGGCAGCGAGCCTGTTCCGAAAACGCGTTCCATTGCGGGATCCACGGCAACGACGGCCGAAAGGTCGCTTCCTGTTCCGGAAGGCGCTGCCGCAGTCGGGGGCCCTGCGGGTGCTCTTGGCTGCACGGGCGCCGAAGGCGGCAAAGCGGTGGGCGGGGCTGCGTTGGGGGGGGGCGGCTTTGGTGCCGCATGGCTTTCGAGCCCGCCGGGGCAGCGCTTCACATCCTTCCACGGGACGTCCTTCAACGACGTTTCCCGCTTTTTGCCAGCAAGCACGCCGTCGCTGCGAGCATCAATGCCCAACGACTTCAGCTTGGTAACGACGTACGGACCCAAGAATTTTTTCGCGAGCCCGGGGCCTTTCTGGCGGTTTCGGCACAAAACGCGTTCCCCAATTTTGAGCTTTTTGATGTCCTTGAGCCTGCTGGCATCGCCGCGGAGTTGGAAAAAGCGCTTCCGGTTCGTGAGCGCCTTCATTTTAAGGGAACTGCGCAGCGCGTTTGCGGCGGGGTCGCTTCCCGCGTTGTCGCTGCTGTCCGCTGCGTCGTCACTGCTTGTTTCCCCCTGCCGCCCAACCGGCTCCGCCACTTGTGCTTGCGGCCCGTTTTTCTTTTCTGCTTCTGCGCTGGCTTCGCTGTTGCCAACGATTTTCGGGGGCGCACGCGGCACGGGGTGAAGGGTGGCTTCCGTTACGTCTCGCAGGGGCCGCAGGAACGTCGCCAAATGCCGGGCAGCCGGAATGCGCCGGCTCCTGGTGGTGCGGCGGTTCAGGGCAGCAACGCACGCCGTGTGGTGTCGCACCCAATCCCCTTCCCCGCCCCTCTTTCGCAGCTGTTGCTTCAATTGCCCATTATAAGACTCAGTGGCCCCGTTGGATTGTGGATGCGCCCGGGGGCTCTCCCGGATGTCCGTGCGAAACGCTTGCCCCGCGGCGCTATCCGCCACAAAAGTGGCGCAGCGGTGGTCTCGGGTCAAGCACGTGCATTGGCTCCAGTCTTTGATCTTTTGCAGCTCGGTACCCTTGTCAATGTTCAGATGATCCGGGACCCCGTGTTCCTCCACCATGTCCAGATAGGCTTGCTTTACTTCTTCGGCCTCGAAGCTGGTTAGCAGTTTGGAACACACGGCGCCGGTGGTGAGGCAGCACATATTCAGACAGCCGACGAACTTGGTGCCCGCGTGTTTGCCGCGGTGGGCCGAATTCTCGCAAGGGGTGCAGATGATGCAATCTATTCCGGCCCAGCACGTATACATCGGAAAAGTAGCCCCCCACAATAACCGCAACGCGCCGCTGCGTGCAACACTCAAAAAAGACGGCGCGCTCTGTGTAGCTTGGCGCTTTCTCTTAGATTTGCGCGCCGCGTGTGGTTGCGGTTACGGGAGGCGGGGCACTTTTCCACAGGATAGGCGAAGGGGCGTAGCGATTCGTTGGCGGGGTCCCCAAGCGCCGCCAGCGTGGAACTGGCGTAGCTGTCCTGCTGCCTTGGCGCCGTTTCTTCGTTTGCCGCGCAAGCTTCGCACGCCTGCACTGCCTGCCGGGCACTTTCCTTGAAGCCGCACCATGTGAAACCTAGTTGCTGGATGCCCGCCGCGGTCGCATCTACCCCCCCATGGGATCGCAAGTGGGCAAGGGCCGCGATGCGTTGCTTTTCAGCTTCGTCACCGGCGGGCACTACCGTCAACCAATCAGGATACACCAAAAGCGCCTCCGTGGATTTGCGTCCATAGCCCTGAAACTCCGCGCGGACCTGCAGCTTGCTAGTGCCTGGGGCCAGGCGAAAATAACGGGCCTTGTCCTTCCACCACTTGCGCTGCCGAGCGGTGAGCCCCAACGCCTTGCAGGCCGCCCTGACGTCGGCAGCTGCCAACAGCGTTTCGATCGTGTCATCGGGCAAAGAGAAATTTTTACCGGCGTTCGACTTACGGCCCCGCTTCAAAGGCGGGGGCGCGCACTCGCTTGAGTCCGAAACGCTTCCCAAATCGCCCTGCTCCGAATCGCTTGCGGCCGCAACAACCTCAGGCGGCAGCGGCGCGGATGCATTCAGCTCCGCGGGGCGCTTTTGCGGAGCATAGCCGGCGTGCTTTGGTTCTAGCGCCTGCGGATCATCTCCTATCGAGTGCTTCTCGGGGCCATTTTTGGCAGGCGCGTTTGGCTTTAGCGCTGGCGCGCTCGTTTCCGTGCCCTGCTTCTGGCAACCCGGGTCACCCCCCGCCGCCCCTGTTTCTGGTGCCTGCGGTGCTGCTTCCGCTTGCGCCGCCGGCCTCGCGCTGCTGCCTCGCGGGGATGCGCTGGGCAAAACATAGGCGTCATAGTGGCGGCCATCGTACTGCAAGCGGATTTCCGTCGTGCCGGCTCCAATTTTTTGAAACCTTACGGCGGAGCCGGGGGCGGGCTCGATGCAGATCGTGAGGCCCATCACCTGGGCGGCAGCTTCCAGAAAGGCGTGCCCAAGCCACACGGTTGCGGCTGGATGCAGCAGCTTCTCCAACCAGGACAGCCACTGGCTTTGCTCTTCCAGGACGCCGCGCCCCGCCGGTTCGTCAGCCCCATACTCCCCCACCCAAAACGGACCAAGCTCTTCGCTATGCCAATGCGCAACACACCCCCTTCCCCTTTTTTTCCTCCTTTGGCCTCGGTGATTGGCGCCGGGCCAAGCACCATCACAAGCGCCTACCATATGCCGGCCCGACTCAGAGCGGGTAGTCTCTGGCGCATTTTTGCCAGAACAACGGCAAACCGCCGAAGAACTTGAAAAAAAAAAACCAAAGGGCCGGCAATTCTGTGCGGAACGGAGAACAGCATCACAAATTTGGCCCGTCGTCTTTAAAGAGGGGGGGGGGGGTGTTGCGCGGTGCCATAATCACGCTTCCCGGCCATGAAACCTTCCACCAGCTGCTTCACCTTCGGCATGCTGATACCCGTGGCCGCCGCAATGGAGAGAGGGCAACAGTTGCCGTTCCCCGCAATTTTTTGCAAAACCGCCTCTCCAGTCGTAGGCGCATCCTGTGCAAAACCCCCCCCCCCTCAAGATCACGGCGCGCCTTTGTCATGCTGTTTGCAACATTTTCCCGGAATTTTTCGGAAAAATCCGGGGAAAACTGTAAAAGGCCGACAAAATTCGGGCCCTGCGTTTGCGACAAGGAGGGGGGGGGACTATTTTCTTCGCCATATTTTGCCGGGGCGGCGCCGCTGTGGGGCCCGCTCGCGTGTTCCCCCCGAATCCATTCCACCCGGCAAAGCCATCCCATTTTTCCCGGTTTCGGGTTCCGGCTGCCGGGAAGGCGGCCGGGCTGACCCGCACGGTTGGCATTCGCGTCGCCGCCCAGGAGGGGCACCATCACGGTGCGGAAGTCTTTTTCGGCCTTTGCGCCCCCCTCCACCTTGTACCAACCCTGCCAGCACGTTTCTGATGTGCGGGTGACAAATCGGCCTATAAAAATGAAACTTCCCCCCGCCCCGAACTTAGACTCGAAATCTGTCATGCAGATTTGTGGCCACAAATCAGATTTGTCATGCTAGAACAAAAAAAATGCAAACTGTAGAGCTGGTTCTCATGAAAAGTCCTTGCATCTTCAGCATGACATCGGGCAGCTAGAAGTGCGAAACAACATGACAAATTCGCTGCAAATGAGGCCGCAGCTGCGTCTCTTGGCCTTCTAGCATTACAAGCCGGCCTGACTGTGTACTCAAAAGCAGCATTACAAATGTCGTTTTTGATATGGGGAGGGGGGTTTTTCATTCTAATACGGCAGCGGTGGTCTTCCTTGGCCTTTTCCACCGTCGCCGGCGAAACATTGTCGAGATCGACCAGAATCCACGCCGAGTTGGTCGGCCGAAAAAAATAATGAAACGCCCGCCCCAATTGGTCCGGCCGCCACTCCCGGGGCAACAAGATCTGGTCCATGACGAGAGTGCCTGTGGAAAATAAAAGCGAAAAATAGCAAAGGGGAGCGACGTGGAAACGAAGGCACATATCACAAACGCTATAGAGGCTTGCCCAAGCAAAAGAACCTCCCAAAAAAGTTAACAAAACCACTACGAAAAAGGGCCGGAAACCAAAAACGATAAGCATACCGCCGCCGCCGCGCACTGGCTCCGTTGTTGTTGTCAAAACCAACTTTCGAAGCCCCCCGATGTCCGGGCAAAACTTGAGGACCCGCGCCATGTCCGAGGTCAAGGCGGCGGGGTCCAGGTCGTCCGTCACCAGCCCTTCGGACGTGTAGCGGTATCCCGGAAAAACGGACGGCGACCCCAGAACAGGGGGGGGCGGGGGGGGGGTGTTGTTCGCGCGCAGTCCCCCGCCGCGCCCGCGTCCGTCCCCGTCCGCTTCGGCCTTGCCCGCCTCCGACTCGCTTCCCGGGTCGGAGTCCGCGAGCGAAGAAGCTGGGCCCGCGTCGAACTTCGGCACCGCTGCCGCCGGTAGGGGGGGCGGGGCGGCCTTTTCGCCCTTTGGGCCCGGAGCACTGGGGGCCGGATCTTGTAACCAAGACACGTCCAAAACACTGCCCGCGCCGCTGTAGGGAAAAGCCGCCATCAGGTCGGCGTCGCGGGTTTTTTTGGCCACGTTGGCGGCAAAACTTTTCTGGCCCGGGCTGTAGGGCTGCGCCTCTTCCGACGCCGTAGCCAACATCCCTCCCAGCATGCTGCAACATCATGAAAAAAGCGCGCCCCAGCCGCGAAGGGCCGCCGGCGTCTGTGATGGGCGGAAATGCGAAAAAAACGAAAACGCCTGCCATGCCTAACATGCTGCCCCTGCTTCGCAAAGCCAGCGGCGCGCTTTTTTTCTGGGGGATATTTTTTCCTTCGGGTTCAACGTCTTCCCCAGGTCCCGAAGCTTGGCGAAGTTCGCCCAAAGGCGGCCCACCTTCAGGGCCGTAAGCCGCAGGCGCCGGCGCTGCGTGTCCGAGTAGGCCACCCGGTCGCCCATGTCGATCCAGCCCGCGGGGGTCAGGCGCGGCGGAAAGTTGCCCGAATCCCCGAAGCAGAATTCGGAATCGTCCGCATCCAGAAAGCCAGCGGCCGCCAAGGCCTTGGCCCGGTCGTAATCGCCGCCCACCGAAACGATTGCCATGGTTTGCAAGGCGAAATCGAAAAAATGCAAGAAGGAGAAAAACGCGAAACAACGAAAAAGGTAGAGAAGCCAGAAACGTAGCAAGCTAGTGCGTGGCTGGTATTTTTTTGCTTAGTAGGGAAGAGGTTTTTTGTGGTTAGTGCGCTCGTTTTTCGTCCGAGGTCGACAAGTTGTTTTTTTTTTGGGTAGCGTGTTCTTTTTTCGTCTGAACGAGACAAATTGAAGTTGGGCACTGTAGTGAAGATGAAACAAGAAAAAAATAGTATAAGCAAGAGCCACAAAGTCGCGATCGTATGACTATCACGTGATTGCTCACATGATAGTCATGTGATTTTGGACCCCCATAAGCCAATTTGAATTGTTTCGATCACGTGATAATCAAATGATTATCACATGATAACCGACCCAGGACGAAAATTACATCTGTCGCACCATATGACAGATCCCCCGTCATACTTACGCACGAAAAGCAAAAAACATGAACGAAACGCAACGAAAACGGCAAAAGAACGAAGACCGAGCGTATATACAATACGATGACAATTCAGATTGTACGAAGCCATGCCGAAAAATAAAGTGAAAAAAGCAATTCAGCGTGGCGCAACTCAGATTACTGCATGCATTACAAATTTTTTTCTCAAGGTAAATCCACATTACAAATTTAATTTCTCATGCTGAGGAAATTTGTAATGCATTTATACGAGTACGATACTTTTGCAATGCATAACCAAGACCATGATGTACGTGCGCACCATTCCGCTAAAACAAGTGTTGCAGCACTGCCAGCAGATCAACGGCCCATTTCTGAATTGGGTGCCAGTCTACACACCCGGAGACCCGTCAGACCAACGTTTTGATGTCCGACACCCAGCAGAAGACCACGAGCCGCAGGTCTACCTGTCGCTGAAGATGTACGCGCGGAGCTCCTACAACAACGCGCTGCCCCCGGGTTCTGGCCAAAACCTCAGGAACATGATGCCCGCAAGCGGCGGCGGTTACTTTCCTCCCGAAAGAACGACTTCCAGTGCGGTAAACCAAGTGCCACCCCATCCGCCGCAGCCGATGGGCGCAGCAGCAGCAGCTTTCGCGCCCAACTCTCCGCAGAATAGCAATCCGGGAGTTGGCAGCTACGGAGGTGCAGCCAACATGATTGTGCCAGGCAACATATGCACTGTAAAAGTATCGTATTCGTATAAATTATGCACTGCAAATTAGCTCAGCATCACAAATGGAATTTGTCATGCTGATTTACCTTAGCGTGTAGATTTGTAATGCATAATTGCGATTACTACGAGTACGATACTTTTACACTTGATAAAACATCCAGCGTAGGAACTCCACTTCCCGGGGGAACCACCCGCAGTCGCCGCCCCAGTCCTCCGAACTGCTCGCAAATAACTATTATCGTGAGAAAAAATAAGTATAGACAGTTACACATTATGTTGCAGGAGCCACAGACAGAGACAACCTCTGTCATGCAGGAGATGCTTGCCAACCTCATTCCTTTCGTGTTTTCCCTTATAGTCCGCGCATCACAGGTTTTCCTCGCCATGTCGAGCAACTCGGTGATGCAGAAACTCCAGCAAATGTGTAACTGAAACAGTTTTTTCCTGTGATACCTATCGCGGGCAAACTACTATCACGGCGGGGGCGCCGCCCGGCGGTCTTGCAGCTGGTGCAGCAGGCGCATCGGCGAATAACTTCGTCCTTGAGCACCAACAATTTGGCGCCCAGGTCGGCGGCCAAAACAACCTGCAGAACCAGCCCGCACCAAATATGTACTCGACCCGCCCGCAGACGCACGCGCACCTGGTCGGGGGACCTGGTGCTCCGCCACACGTCGTCGCGCGGCAAGTGCTAGAGGAGCAGACGCAGTTGCCACAGTCGACGCCATCGTTACGGAGCAACAATCAACAGCAGACAGCTCCGGCCACGCTGAACGACGCAGACCTTTCGGAAGCGAAGTGGATGGCCAATCACATCCAGCGCCACATGTATCAAATGGAAATATGTCTGGGTCTGGAAATTTCTTGTGATGCAAATCTGTGAATGGTGGGCTCACTACAATATGCAGCCAAGCATGTTGACAAGTTTTTGCAGTGCCATGCGTTTCGTTTTCCGCATGGCAAGCTGCGTTTTTGCACGACAGGCAAGACGACCCGTTCCTGCTTACGCATCACGACAGATCTAAGAGTGATGCCAGACAAGCATGACAAGTCCTGCATTCTTCCAGACCCAGACATTTTTGCAATGCATAACATGGCGCAGTCCGCGATCCAGCAGCAGGCCGTCGAGAAGCTGCTATCGCAAGGAAACATCCCCCCTCCCCATATTGACGAGGTAGGTTTTCGAAAATTTGTGTTGGTTGATTTGTGACCACAAATCGTGTCTGTCTTGCAGGACTGCGACTCCACCGGCTCCGCCGCATCAATTACGCAGGCGGTTTGTCATGCCGTTGGGCCTACAGCGCGGACGTTTTTCATGCTAAGCGCCTGGCCTAGGTGGAAGAGGAAGCCTCTCTACTCAGGCTTGATATGGGTCCGCAGTCCTCTCCAGCAAAAAGACAAGCCGACTTCTGGCCACGTCAAAGCAGCGGCACAAGTTTTCTTTTCGATATGTGCTGGGGAATTTTTCCTTTTGATAGCTGCAAAACAAAAACAAGAGCCTCGAGCAGCAGTATCAAATGTAAAAATGTCTGGGTCTGGAAGAGTCATGCTGTTTTTGCATGACACAGAAGGTCTGGCATGGAAGCTCTAGCATCACAGGTTTCGAGAACCTTCCGCAATGCCGAATCCGCATGACAGGTCCCCTATTTTGCTGGCAAAAAGTGGGAGCTTTTGCTGCGTATGCATGAGAGACTTTTCTGTGTTCTGAAATACGCATTACAAGTTGCATTCTTCCAGACCCAGACATTTTTACATTTGGTAAGCAGGTGCAGACACTGAAATCCGAGTATCAAATGCAAAAATGTCTGGGTCTGAAGGAGGAGAACTTTGTCATGCACATTTTCCATGATCCATGATGTCTCTGATGTATGCCATAGCATCACAGATTTTTTGAGCGCCTATCGATGCGCATCCTGCATGACAAACCAATACACTCTCCACGTAGCCAAATTTGACTCCTCTTGCTGCTCATGCAATGCAGATTTTTTTAGCATCCAAATGCAGCATCACAAGTTTCTTTGGCTCTTCCAGACCCAGACATATTTGCAATCCATACCGAGCTGCAGATGACGAAGCACGAAGCAAAGATGGAACTCGAGAAGGTAGAGACGCGGGTGAAGGCAAAGCTGACGCAAGACCTGGCGGCCGAGCGCAACGAGTGGATTCGGATCAATATATCAAATGCAAATATGTCCGGGTCCTCTGGAAGGATGCAAGCTTGTGTTTGTGATGCGAAGATCACATCACATGAAAATCTCTCGTGCCTGGACACGTTGCCCGAATCATTGTCACGGAAGGAGGAAATAAAATCTGTCTTGCGGATTAGGCATTGAAAAGCCTTCCAAAGTTTTGTGATGCTGGGGCTTGCTTGGCAGACGAGATGACCTTCTGGGTCATGCAAAAACAGCATGTCAGACATCTGCACTCATCGAGAGGACCCATATGACATATCTGTATTTGATACAACACGGAAAAAAGCGATTTGCTTCAGCAGGATCTGTATGAATTGAAAAAGTATCGAACTAAGTCTAGTATGAATTGAAAAAGTACTTCTCACGCCCTTCTTGACACAGATCCGCGTGGGCATTGCCAGGAAGGCTCTTGCGTGTCAAGAAGGTTCCGCTAGCTCGTGTTTCGTTTTCAGGGGTCCAAAGTTTTTTTGTTCTTCCAGATGCAGCATTACAAGGTTTGAAATCGCTCAAAATTTGAAACACGAGCTAGCGCGCCCTTCTTGACACAGAGCCGCGCGGGCATTGACAGGACGGCTCTTGCGTGTCAAGAAGGTGCCGTTAGCTCGTGTTTCGTTTTCAGGGTTCCAAAAATGTTTTGTTTTTCCAAATGCAGCATTACAAAATTTGAAATCGCTCAAAATTTGAAACACGAGCTAACGCGCCCTTCTTGACACAGAGCCGCGCGGGCATTGACAGGACGGCTCTTGCGTGTCAAGAAGGTGCCGTTAGCTCGTGTTTCGTTTTCAGGGTTCCAAAAATGTTTTGTTTTTCCAAATGCAGCATTACAAAATTTGAAATCGCTCAAAATTTGAAACACGAGCTAACGCGCCCTTCTTGACACAGAGCCGCGCGGGCATTGACAGGACGGCTCTTGCGTGTCAAGAAGGTAGTACCGCTAGCTCGTGTTGCGTTTTCAGGGTTCCAAAAAGTTTTTGTTTTTCTAAATGCAGCATTACAAAGCTTGAAATCGCTCAAAATTTGAAACACGAGCTAACGCGCCCTTCTTGACACAGAGCCGCGCGGGCATTGACAGGACGGCTCTTGCGTGTCAAGAAGGTAGTACCGCTAGCTCGTGTTGCGTTTTCAGGGTTCCAAAAAGTTTTTGTTTTTCTAAATGCAGCATTACAAAGCTTGAAATCGCTCAAAATTTGAAACACGAGCTAACGCGCCCTTCTTGACACAGAGCCGCGCGGGCATTGACAGGACGGCTCTTGCGTGTCAAGAAGGTGCCGTTAGCTCGTGTTTCGTTTTCAGGGTTCCAAAAAGTTTTTGTTTTTCCAAATGCAGCATTACAAAGTTTGAAATCGCTCAAAATTTGAAACACGAGCTAACGCGCCCTTCTTGACACAGAGCCGCGCGGGCATTGACAGGACGGCTCTTGCGTGTCAAGAAGGTGCCGTTAGCTCGTGTTTCGTTTTCAGGGTTCCAAAAAGTTTTTGTTTTTCCAAATGCAGCATTACAAAGTTTGAAATCGCTCAAAATTTGAAACACGAGCTAACGCGCCCTTCTTGACACAGAGCCCTACCGGCATTGACAGGACGGCTCTTGCGTGTCAAGAAGGTGCCGTTAGCTCGTGTTTCGTTTTCAGGGTTCCAAAAATTTTTTGTTTTTCCAAATTCAGCATTACAATGTTTGAAATCGCTCAAAATTTGAGACACGACCTAACGCGCCCTTATTGACACAGAGCCGCGCGGGCATTGACAGGACCACGGCTCTTGGTTGCGTGTCAATAAAGTTCCACTAGCTCGTGTTTCTTTTTCAGGGTTCCAAAATTTTTTTTGAAATCGCGAGTACAGGAGGCGCCGTTGCCACGTGTTCCTTTTTCAGGGTTCCAAACAGTTTGCGTTTGCCCACATGCAGCATTTTGCGTAACTAGAACCAAAACTACAAGTAGTGCGATATTTTTGCAATGAATAACCTGGTATGCACTGCAAATATGTCTGGGTCTGGAGGAAAAGATGGTGCACGCTTTATTGTCATGCAGGTTTAACATAACCAAGAAGGTCTCGAATGTCGGCTCTAGCATCACAAGTGAAGAAGTTTTGAGAAAGCTCCGCAATGCTGAATCCGCATGCGAAGAGAAGTGCCGCCTTCTGGTAACCAAAAGTGATGAAGACTTGTTTTCCTGGTCACGCAATATAGATTTTCGTGTCGATCAGATTTAGCATGACAAAGTCGACGGACTCTTCCAGGAGACCCAGACATATTTGCAATGCATACCTGGACCGCGCCAAAGTGGAAAAGACCAGTCTGGAGCAGCGCCTGTCGAGCTACGTATGAGAGTGCACAACTCCCCCTCCCCCGCCTCATTTGTAATGCAAAAACCCAAACTGCTCACACCGTGCTTATCCTTATCAGTGCTGTCTGCATGACAAATTTACGAAGCTCACACAGTGAGTACTACAGTCCGCAAGTAAATTTGTCACACGGAAACTACATTAAACATTTATTCTGCCGTTGCTTGTATTGCTGTCCATGCCCTACAAATGAGGGGGACGGGGGGGTTGTGCACCTTCATACTACGAAAAGCTCGAGCACGAGTTGCGAGCCAGAGGTCTGGAATTGGAAAAAGTGAAGGCGGAAAACGAGCAGGTGCGCAGAACTTGCTTTTTGGTGACACACAGTTGTTCTGAGATGAGCTACGACCTAGGATGTAAAAACTGATACTGATTGAAGTAGGATTTTTAGGGATACAGAAGAATGTAGTTGAAGAAGATTATGCGTAGTACACAGCTATGAGCTGTCGGGTGGCCTACTTCCAGTTTATCTTATCGTCATGTTCTTGCCCCGGGCATGATCGACTGGGGGCGGGACTTTTGCAAGACAAAAGAGGGGGAGGGAAAAATAAAATCATTTCGTGCACATCAAGAACTCTCATAATATTCACATCAGATTAAGCGGCTCCGCGACACAGCCGAGCACGAGACGAATATCCTGTGCAAAAGTATCATACTCGCACTAATTATCGCAGCCGTGCAAGACAAATTTCTTTTTCAAGCTAAATCAGCATCAGAAGCTATTCCATTTGTCATGCTGAGCTAAGTTGCTTATTGTTTTTGTATTGCAATTATACTACGAGTGCGATACTTTTCCAATTCATACCGAATCTCCAAAAGCAACGCTATCAAATGCAAAAATGTCTGGGTCTGGAAGGTTGGAACTTGTGATGCGCATTTCACAACACGCAAAAATCTCTCATGCATTGGTAGCAAAAGCTGCCCATTTTCTGTCACCGAAATGGGGGATTTGTCATGCTGATTCGGCATTGCGGAAGCTTCTCGAAGCCTGTGATGCTGAGCTTCCATGCCAGACCTTCTGTATCATGCAAAAACAGCATGACTCTTCCAGATCCAGACATTTTTACATTTGATAAACGCCTACATGAGACAATCCAGAAATCCAGCTTCGAGAAAAAAACGCAAATATGAGAGTGCACAACTCCCCCTGCTCCCCCTCATTTGTATTTTTGCATGAACAGCAATACAAACACCAGCACACGTGGAGCCTATGCATGAGAAATTTATGTCCCTACGTGTAGTAGTAGTACATACTGTTTGGGATTCCGGAATTTCTCCTGTAGTAAACAGTGCCACACAGCAGAGACTGGATCTGGATTTGGGGTTTTGCATGACAAATGAGGGGGAGAGCGAGTTATGCGCTTTCATAGCAAAAAGAGGAAATGCAGAAAGAAAGGGAGCACTTTCAGCTGTTGCTGAAGCAGGCGAGGTATGAACTGCAAAAGTGAGTTGTTGCTTCTAGTGGGAATCGCATGGCAATAAATTTTCTCACCAGCATGAGAAATCAAATTTGTCAATGCTGATTTAGATTTTGAGTCACCTTCGGTGGAACGAGATTTGAAAAATTATGCATGATTGCGATTAGTATCACGAGCGCAGTGCTGTTGCAGACAGGATAAAAGCGACAAGCACGAGATGAATCAGACCACCATACAGAATACCATAGCGCAAAAATGTCTGGGTCTGGAAGAATGCAACTTGTGATGCTGCATTTGGATTCCAAAAAAATCTGTATTGCATGAGTAGCAAAGGGAATGCAATTTTTGCTACGCTGAGAAGGCATTTGTCATGCGGAATAGGCATCAAGAAGCCTTCAAAAAATCTGTGTTGCCGGGGTATGCATCACAGACATCATGGCTCATGCAAAACGTGCATGACAAGTGCCAGAATCTTCCAGACCCAGACATTTTTGCACTTCATACAGAACCAGTTCGACGCGGAGTTTGTCGTTCTGATATCCACAGTAAATTAAAATTTCCCGCACATGTACAACAAATTCGGTCTCTGCAAGACAAAACTTGGCTTCGATCGACGTTTAGCATGACTAGTTTTACCCTCTAAATTGGTGAAGTTTGTGATGCATCCACCTGTACATGTAAGTACGGGAAATTTGTATTGCATATCTGAAAGAGAAAAACAACGACTTGGAGCTGAAGGTGACCACTTTGAGTGCGCACTATGAGAACGCGCAGGAACTGCTAAAGCAGTACGAGCTCGACCTTGTGGAGGAAAAGCACGGCGCGAAACTGTTATGGAATGCAAATATGTCTGGGTCTGGTTCTGGAACACTGCAACATGTCATGCTAACGCAGAATCATGCAAAAATCTGCCTTGCGTGATTACCAGCAAAGGCTGTGCACTTTCGACCAAGTTTCACGACGCAGGATAGGCATGATGATAGAGATCTCACAGAATCTGTCATGCTAAATCCTGCATTTCAGACCTCAGGGGTCATGCAAACTCGGCATGACAAATCGCGCATTCTTGTTCCAGACCCAGACATATTTGCACTGGATAACTGTTGCAAGAGAACTACCTGAAGCAGGAACACGCACTCAAATCGGAATTGGACCAGACCTTCAAACGGGTAGAAATTATCCTGTGCAAAAGCATCGTATTCGTATTGCAGTCATGCATATACAAGTCTTTTTGTTAAGTGTCAAATCCGCATTACAAATTTCATTTCTCATGCGGAGGAAATTTGTAATGCATTTATACGAGAGCTGCGATACTTTTGCAATTGATAGAAATGATCGAGCAGCAGGGCAACAAAGAAGTCGACACGCTCCGAGATTCCCTGCTCATGGAAAAGACGCAACGAGCGGTATAATCGTCCTCTATGTGCTGTAAAATTTAAAATTTCGCTCTGCTTCTGAGCAGCAGTTTCTCTTTCGCTTTACGAAAGCATCTTGCACTTGTCCTGCAGTGGTTTCACCGAAAAGAACCCGCTTACTTACCGGCGCCAAAGATTTCGCGTACCGGTGCGCCCATACGCTCCTGTTTGGCTCGCGTACCGGCGCCGTGCCGGCGCTTCTTTTAGGTGTCTGTGCGGTTTTTTTTGATGTAGTTTTGCCATTTTCTCTGTTCATGTTCTGGCTCTTGAGTAAAAAAAAAGAATCCCTATCCTTAGGCCGAGAAAGCGAGCGCCGCGGACCAGATCCGCAAACTGGAGCAGGCTATCCAGGGTCGCACAGCGGAACTTGAGCAGCAGCGCCGCTATGCAGTGCAAATGTGTCTGGGTCTGGAAGGATGCAAGGTTTGTCATGCTTGTCTGGTATGTCTGAAGAGTCTGTGATGCGGGTCCAAGAAGAGACCCTCTTGCGTGTCATGCAAAGACGCAGTTTGTCATGTGGAAAATGCAAGAACACTAAAGCAGCGCGGATATTCCCCATGCTTGGCTGTGCATTACAGAGCATTCACTATTCGTATTCCCCACCCAGCATTACAAGTTTCCAGACCCAGACGTATTTGCATTCGATAGCCGCGAGACGGAGACAAAACTCATGGAGCAACAGAAGCTGTTGGCAGACAAACAGAACCTTATGGAGAACGAGTTGGAGAAAACGCGGTCGAGTTTGCTGCTCGACAAGGAGCGCGCCGTGCAGAGTTTGGTAGAAGAAAAAAACCTAGAGCTGGCGGAAAAAAACCGAGAATGGGATACGAAATACCAGGACATGAAGAACAGCTACGCCAAGGACCTGGACACCACGACGGCACTTATGAACCGCATAAGTACCGTACTCGTAGTAATTGGAATTGCAGTCATGCATTACAAATTTTTTTCTTAAGGTCAATACGCATTACAAATTCTATTTCTCATGCTGAGAAAATTTGTAATGCATTTATACGAGTACGGTACTTTTGCAATGCATAGCACTGACGCAGCAGCAACAGAACGCGCTGCAGCACGAACTTGAGGGGATCACCAAAGAAAAAAAGCAGCTGCAGGACTATGACCCGCTCAGACGTTACAATCTCAACTGTTACAATAGAATCTGGAAATCTATGATGCAAGAACTGCATGATCTAGCCTACTCCCATAGCCATAGGATTACGCATGATAAGTTTCGGAGTCCCAAACCCACCTGAAATCCGGCAAAATTTGTATTGCGAAAAGCTCGATTCTCTCTGCGTTCCTCATGCTCTTCATGCAATACAAATTCTAGATTCTATTGTAACGTTTGGGATTGTAACGCTTGAGCAGTTCATAAGGATCTAAGCGACAGACTCGCCAGCGAAAAACAGAAGCTTGAAAGCGAGAAGCGAAGCCTAGAAATGACAATATCGGGGGAGCGGTCAAAACAGGACAAGCAGGCGACGGAGCTTGCGACGCGGGAAAAGCAGGCGGCGGACCAACTCGCGGCGCTCCGCGCGGAGCTCGTGAGCTTGCAAGAGAAGGCCGATGAGGAGCGACAGACCCTGGACCGCGAAAAGCTGGAACTCGAAAGCACTTTGGCCGCGAAGGCGCAGGCCGCTTCGGCGCTCGAGAAGGAGAAGCTAGACTTGCTGGAAAAAATGAAAGAGCGGCAATCGGAGTTCGAGTTGCAGAAAAGCCTAACTTATGCAGTGCAAAAGCATACTCGCGCAGCTAGTAGTAGAAGTAATTGCAATAGTACGAATTAGCTCAGCATGACGCCGCATCATCATCAAAGTTGTCATGACGATTTAGCTTGAAAAAGAGACTTGTCATTTGCTTTTATTTGTAAATTACTACGAATACGACTACACTTTTGCCATGCAAATCGCGTCGCACGAGTCGGAGCAGAAGCTGCAAGATGCGCAAAAGGAATTCCAGAAGGAGTTGCAGGGGATGCAGACGCAGGTGATGCGACTGGAAATGGAGAAGAAAAATGCGGAAAAGGGCTACGCGGAGAGGCTAGAAGCCGAACGAGAAAAGCTGGTTAGCGAAAACAACCAGAGCGCTGAGAAGTACAACAGTTACATCGACACGATGGAGCAGCATTCGCAGTCTTTGCAGCAAGAGCTGGACAACGTGAAGATCCGCAGCACGGACCTGGAGCAGTCGGTGAGTGCCCTGCAGCATGAAAAGCACGAGCAGCAGCAGAGCATGGAGCGGGCGAAGCAGGACGCGGACCGAAAAGTGCAGGACCTGACGCAGCAACTATATTATCCTGTGCAAAAGTATCGTATGTAGTGAGGTCACCGAACGGTTCTAACCAGGGAGTTTTTTTGACAGCTACCCTGAAAAACGACCGGCAGTTTTCAAGCGGCCGGAGGCGTTTTTTGACATAAAAAATTTTTAATTATCAAGCGGACGGGGCTTTGCCGTCAAACAAGCCCGGTCGAAAACTATCGACTCGCACTTGATAAAACGACGCAGGGGAGCCGGGAAAAGGGGCGCCCTTCTGAGGCGCCCGCCCCCTTGGTTTCTGGCGATTTGGGGCGCCCAAAAAGGGGCGCGCAAAAAACGCGCCCAAAATCAAAACAGCGAAACAGCATGGCACGGCCGCGATTTCGGAGCATTTTGGGCGGCCGCGAAAGCGGCCGCCTTTTCGCCGGTTTCAGAGCCTGGGAAGCTTTGCAAAAAGCGCCGGCGTGAAAAATAAAAACGCGAAAAAGAAAAAGCGCCCCAGACGCGCAAAGCCAATCCGCATGCTATGGGCCCGATTTTTCTTCGCTTTTTGGGCGCCCCCCGTGGCACCCGGATCGGCCCCATAGCATGGGGGCTGGCCTTCGGAAAGGAATTTCGGGAATTTGCCAAAATTTGCGATGTTTATCAAGCGGCCGCCATACCGTGCGGCCTAACGTTACTCACGGCGGTATGGCGAGCCCAGAAAAAGCAAAGCCGCGGCCAAGGCGATGGCCGGCAAGAAAACGCCCAACGACCTCACTACCTCCGCCCCGGCGGCTATATTTGGTACTCGTAGTAATTGGCATCATGCATTACAAATCTTCTTCTTAAGGTAGATCCGCATTACAAATTTTATCTCTCATGCTGAGAAAATTTGTAATGCATTTATACGAGTGCGATGCTTTTGCGGTGGATATGTATACCGAGCAGACCAAAGCCGAGATTTTGCGCAAGGACAAACAAGCCCTAGAATCGGAGGTTTTAACGCTGAAACAGTCCGTCGCGAGCGGCGAGCAGAAGATGGCGAATTTTCAGGAGGAAGTGCAGCAGTTGCGCAGCTTCCAGCAGCAGACCAACAGCGCGACCAGCGAACAGATGCTGCAATTCCAAACGGAGTTGCAACAGGAGTTCGAGAAGAAATTTTCCCTACAACTGACCAACCAGCGGGAGGTCATCGAGCAGAAAGACGCCCAGATTATCGCTCTGGAACAGGAAAAGTCGAAGCACGAACAAGACGTGGACAGCCTCACGGAGATGATGCAGCACGCAATGGTGATGGAGGAAGAAAAGAACACCGAGATCGCGATTCTGAAAAAGTTCATTGCGGACAACGTGGATCTCAGCGACGACAACAATAACGTCCTGCGCGACATGATCTTGAAGGACAAAGACAGCGCTGGAAATCATCATCTCCTGAACAGCCCGGGAGGTGGAGCAGCAGGTCCCGTTGCAGCAGGGGCAGCCACGACTGTGTCGGGGAATCCTAGCGGCAATATGATGATCGATCCGAGTTCGCTGAACCAAATGATGATGATGCGCATGACGCCGCCGCCGCGGGGAGGCAGTACTAACATGTTCCAGCCCAGTCCGGGTCCAGTCGCTTCATCTGGGGCCGGTAACATCAATGTGAATGTGCTGCAGCAGCAGGGGCCAGCACCGCCGCAAGGTTCATCTACCTTTGGAATTTCCCCGTTCGCAGCGCGACCCGGCGGCCTGGTGGGCAACATTGGACTACCCTTGCATCTCCCGGCCGTGGGGTTGACCAATCCTGCGGGCGGGCCTGGTGCGGGTCCGCAGATATAACATGCTCAGGTTTTACAATCTCAAATCGGTTACCATAAAATCTGGAGTTTGTAATGCAAGAAGTGCATTATCTAGCCAACTCTCATAGGATTGAGCATGACAAGTTCTGGAGTCCCAATCCGCACTACAATCTGGCGAAATTTGTATTGCAGAAAGTGGAATGCTCTGCGAGTCTGTCATGCTCCTCATGCAATACAAAACCCAGATTCTATTCTAACGTTTGAGATTGTAACGCTTGAGCAGGTCATAGAAGATATGGTCGTCTTCTTCGGTTGAGCAGGAGTATGGCGGCGGGTACACTGGTTTTACCACCAGCACCGCGAAGTCTGCCATTGTCGTCGGCTGCAACTTATGAACTGCAAAAGTACAGTATCGCACTAGTATAAATTGGATTACGAATTGGCATTGAGTTAGCATTACGAATTAAATTTGTAAATGCGGACTTGCCCGAATGCGAAGCGCCTGTATGCCGCTGCGAAACGCAGCAAGCTTCTTGCTGAATTTGTCCGAATTGGCGCAGCAGAGGTAGCTCGTTGGCAGCCTCTCGCCTACGTTTCGCTTGTGCATAAGGACCTCCAGGGCCGTGCGTCATGTTCTGCCTCACGTCTTAGACGGATGCCGCACGTCTGACCTTCGTGCAGCCTGGGCCCCGACTCATGCCGCCTCTGCCTTTTCGTTGCGCCTTCTACGACGCTCGCCCGCAAAGAAGCGGCGGCCCCCGCAAACGTTGCCGCGCCCGCCCGCTTGAAGCTGAACGCGGCAAACCCGCACGGGGGGACGAAACGAAGCGCGCGGCGCTGGTGATTCTCGAGACCAAACCGCGAGGAAAGTCGCCGCCCTTTTCGCAGGAACGCAAAAACGAGACACCCGCCCGCGCCCGTGCTCGCTAATCGCAAAGAAACGGCGGCCCCCGCGGACGCTTTCGCGCCCGCCCGCTTGAAGCTGAACGCGGCAAACCCGCATGGGGAGACGGAACGAAGCGCGCGGCCCTGGTGGTTCTCGAGACCAAACCGGGAGGAAAATCGCCGCCCTTTTCGCAGGAACGCAAAAACGAGACTCCCGCCCGCGCCAGTGCTCGCCTATCGCAAAGAAACGGCGGCCCCCGCGGACGTTTTCGCGCTCGCCCGCCTGAAGCGGAACGCGGCAAACCCGCATGGGGAGACGGAACGAAGCGCGCGGCCCTGGTGGTTCTCGAGACCAAACCGGGAGGGAAATCGCCGCCCTTTTCGCAGGAACGCAAAAACGAGACTCCCGCCCGCGCCAATGCTCGCTAATCGCAAAGAAACGGCGGCCCCCGCGGACGTTTTCGCGCTCGCCCGCCTGAAGCTGAACGCGGCAAACCCGCATGGGGAGACGGAACGAAGCGCGCGGCCCTGGTGGTTCTCGAGACCAAACCGGGAGGAAAATCGCCGCCCTTTTCGCAGGAACGCAAAAACGAGACTCCCGCCCGCGCCAATGCTCGCTAATCGCAAAGAAACGGCGGCCCCCGCGGACGTTTTCGCGCTCGCCCGCCTGAAGCTGAACGCGGCAAACCCGCATGGGGAGACGGAACGAAGCGCGCGGCCCTGGTGGTTCTCGAGACCAAACCGGGAGGAAAATCGCCGCCCTTTTCGCAGGAACGCAAAAACGAGACTCCCGCCCGCGCCAATGCTCGCTAATCGCAAAGAAACGGCGGCCCCCGCGGACGTTTTCGCGCTCGCCCGCCTGAAGCTGAACGCGGCAAACCCGCATGGGGAGACGGAACGAAGCGCGCGGCCCTGGTGGTTCTCGAGACCAAACCGGGAGGAAAATCGCCGCCCTTTTCGCAGGAACGCAAAAACGAGACTCCCGCCCGCGCCAATGCTCGCTAATCGCAAAGAAACGGCGGCCCCCGCGGACGTTTTCGCGCTCGCCCGCCTGAAGCTGAACGCGGCAAACCCGCATGGGGAGACGGAACGAAGCGCGCGGCCCTGGTGGTTCTCGAGACCAAACCGGGAGGAAAATCGCCGCCCTTTTCGCAGGAACGCAAAAACGAGACTCCCGCCCGCGCCAATGCTCGCTAATCGCAAAGAAACGGCGGCCCCCGCGGACGTTTTCGCGCTCGCCCGCCTGAAGCTGAACGCGGCAAACCCGCATGGGGAGACGGAACGAAGCGCGCGGCCCTGGTGGTTCTCGAGACCAAACCGGGAGGAAAATCGCCGCCCTTTTCGCAGGAACGCAAAAACGAGACTCCCGCCCGCGCCAATGCTCGCTAATCGCAAAGAAACGGCGGCCCCCGCGGACGTTTTCGCGCTCGCCCGCCTGAAGCTGAACGCGGCAAACCCGCATGGGGAGACGGAACGAAGCGCGCGGCCCTGGTGGTTCTCGAGACCAAACCGGGAGGAAAATCGCCGCCCTTTTCGCAGGAACGCAAAAACGAGACTCCCGCCCGCGCCAATGCTCGCTAATCGCAAAGAAACGGCGGCCCCCGCGGACGTTTTCGCGCTCGCCCGCCTGAAGCTGAACGCGGCAAACCCGCATGGGGAGACGGAACGAAGCGCGCGGCCCTGGTGGTTCTCGAGACCAAACCGGGAGGAAAATCGCCGCCCTTTTCGCAGGAACGCAAAAACGAGACTCCCGCCCGCGCCAATGCTCGCTAATCGCAAAGAAACGGCGGCCCCCGCGGACGTTTTCGCGCTCGCCCGCCTGAAGCTGAACGCGGCAAACCCGCATGGGGAGACGGAACGAAGCGCGCGGCCCTGGTGGTTCTCGAGACCAAACCGGGAGGAAAATCGCCGCCCTTTTCGCAGGAACGCAAAAACGAGACTCCCGCCCGCGCCAATGCTCGCTAATCGCAAAGAAACGGCGGCCCCCGCGGACGTTTTCGCGCTCGCCCGCCTGAAGCTGAACGCGGCAAACCCGCATGGGGAGACGGAACGAAGCGCGCGGCCCTGGTGGTTCTCGAGACCAAACCGGGAGGAAAATCGCCGCCCTTTTCGCAGGAACGCAAAAACGAGACTCCCGCCCGCGCCAATGCTCGCTAATCGCAAAGAAACGGCGGCCCCCGCGGACGTTTTCGCGCTCGCCCGCCTGAAGCTGAACGCGGCAAACCCGCATGGGGAGACGGAACGAAGCGCGCGGCCCTGGTGGTTCTCGAGACCAAACCGGGAGGAAAATCGCCGCCCTTTTCGCAGGAACGCAAAAACGAGACTCCCGCCCGCGCCAATGCTCGCTAATCGCAAAGAAACGGCGGCCCCCGCGGACGTTTTCGCGCTCGCCCGCCTGAAGCTGAACGCGGCAAACCCGCATGGGGAGACGGAACGAAGCGCGCGGCCCTGGTGGTTCTCGAGACCAAACCGGGAGGAAAATCGCCGCCCTTTTCGCAGGAACGCAAAAACGAGACTCCCGCCCGCGCCAATGCTCGCTAATCGCAAAGAAACGGCGGCCCCCGCAAACGTTTCCGCGCCCGCCCGCTTGAAGTTGAACGCGGCAAATCCGTATGGGGAGACGAAACGAAGCGCGCGGCCCTGGTGGTTCTCGAGACCAAACCGGGAGGAAAATCGCCGCCCTTTTCGCAGGAACGCAAAAACCAGACGCCCGCCTGCGCCAGTGCTCGCTAATCGCAAAGAAGCGGCGGCCCCCGCAAATGTTTCCGCGCTCGCCCGCTTGAAGTTGAACGCGGCAAATCCGCATGGGGAGACGAAACGAAGCGCGCGGCGCTGGTGATTCTCGAGACCAAGCCGGGAGGAAAGTCGCCACCCTTTTCGCAGGAGCAGCACGGCGACCGCCCCGCCTGCGCCCGTCCACCCAAGCCAACCAAACGAGCCCCAGCGCGTTGCTTAGCTTATATCCTTCTCGATTTATTGTTCAGTAGAAGGCCGCGGCCGCCCGGACGTCCTGCCGCCCGGTTGTAGCTCTGTCTCCGATGTGCTGCGGATTTGCCTTAGCAAAAAGATCTGGAGCGCATGCATTGCGTCGCAATATAGACATAGAGCACGAGGGCGCCGAGCACTTTTGCAGTTCATACAACTACCCAAACGTCCGCAACGCGGGTATGGACAAGCTCGCAAGCGGGGAAGTCGTCAACTGTTAACTTGATTCCTTGTCGTGCGAAATTGGAATTGCCATGCATCAGCTTCAGCATCTTGGATAGTAGCAGAATCAAACTGCTTTGCACTTTGCGTGGCAAATTCTCATAGGGCCAAAATCAACATGGGAACAATCTGTGCCAAGATTGTAAAGCCAGGGGTGCGACGAGCTCGAGCTCCCTCCTTTAAAGTCCCTTTGGCTATTGATTCATGAATCACAAGAAATTCACGCAACAACAGCCGCTGAAAACTCAACGCTTGAGACCTCCATTCCGGGCCTGCAGCACGCCAATGCGGACGCCATGCAGATCGCGAGATGCTTCGAACAAAGCCAGCAGTTCCGCGGCGGCGCGGGGATACGGGTGTTGACCGACACGCTCGAGGCGGCGGTATGAATTGCAAAAGTATCGCACTCGTATAAATGCATATACAAATTCCCTCAGCATGAGAAATAGGATTTCTTTGTAATGCGGATTTACCTTAAGAAAAGGGCTTGCTAATGCAAGACTTGCATTTATACGAGTGCGATACTTTTGCACAGGATAGGCGGGCGACGTCAGCGACTCCTCGTCGCACAGCGCGAGTCACGGGACAAGTATATGCCTTGCAAATATGCCTCGGTGTGGACACCTGTGATGCTGAATTGAGCATGATTGAAGCGCTTGCGATGTTGGCACCCAAGCGTGACAAGCTTTTGAAACGCCTGCTAATGCCTAGCACGCATCACAAATTGCGCTTTTGCACGAGAAAGGAAGCTCCTCTTTTGCTCCTCATACAACACAGATTTGCCAGGAATGGAAGACTCGCATCACAAGATCCACTGTCCCAGACTTAGACAGTACATATTTGCACTTGATAAATTACCTGCCACAACATTTTCCACGCCATTGAGGACGTGCTGGTCAAGAATTCGAACCCGACAGAGCACTTGTTTTTCTACTTTTCCGGTTACGGCAGCTCGATGAGCAGTAGCAGTAGCAGCCACGTGCTGGACACCACGGCTCTGATGAGCCACAGTGCTGTATCAAACGGAAAAATCCCCCCTCCCGATGAACTTCTGATGCTGGATTTGTGTACACAAATCAGCTTTGTCTTGCAGGAAGGCACTGTGGCCAGATTCCCAGGCTCTGTGGGGGCGTATGGGTCTAGTTGTTCAGCATCGCAAACGGCTGCCCTTTAGGCCAAACAGCATGGCAAATCGCTCCCATAATGGGAGGGAAGCATCTGCCATTGCCTTCTTGCAAGACAAATGTGATCTGTGGCCTCAAATCAGCAGCACAAATTTGCGGAGTCATACCTTTTTCAATATGCGTCGGGAGGATTTTTCCCTTTGATATGCTGCATCCTCATCCCCAAGCACCGCGGTTCTCCTTCCCGCAGATTTTGCGAAGTCGCTCCCTGTACGCGTTGCAAATTAATATGTCTAGATCTGGAGAAACTTCTAATGCTAGTTTGTGAATGGTGGGCGTACTGCGATACGCAGCCACGCATGGCAAGCCAGTGAGTTTCTGGGCTAGGCTACCTTCCCGCATGACGATCAAGAGGCTTTTGTTCTCCTCCTCTCGCATTACAGATTCAATTGTCATGCGAGACTAGCATGACAAACGTGCATTCTTCCGGTTCCAGACGTTTTTGCAATGCATACCCTGCCGGGTTCGTCGCGGATCCGGAGTGGAAAAACTCGGTGCAGCACATGGAAAAACACTTCGACTACTCACCGAACAAGACTTCCTCAAACCGCGACCTGACGCAAGTCGTGCAGGGTCAGGTGCAGCGGTGCGGCTATCGATTCTTTTCGATCGAGCAGCTTTACCAGTGGATCAGGCACTGTGCCAACCGGCGCACGACGGCCTCGGGCGTGCCGGAGCTGAAAAAAGTCACCTTGATTCTGTATGGCATTCTCAACTGTTACATTCTCAAGTGTTACACGGATTTGTCATGCAAAATTGCCATCAGCCTCCACTTGAGCAAGGTGCCTAGCATGACAAATCTCCGAAGGGCTAAACAGCATCGAAATCTGCGGAAAATCTGTGATGCGAAAGCTGCAATAATGCAACTTTCACTATTGCTGTTCTTGCATTACAAATCCATGTAACAGTTGAGAATGTAACGCTTGAGAACGCCATATTCTGGACGCGGGGCTTCTGGTGACGGATCACAGCACGAATAGTTCTTCCGGCGCCGCGCCAAAACGCGTGCGGGTTTTTGGCCAGGAGGTGTTTTATCCAACGTAAAATCGTCATGATTTATTTGAGCTTCGCCAAGTGAATTAATGGTGTAAAGTAACTTGCGATGTTGAGAAGTACTTTATGAACCTTCATGACCACATTAGGGCGCTATAAGTCTCCCTGCGAGCTGACTTGCTGGAGTCCGAGTGACAGCCGCCGGAATCCGCTTCACTCCGATTCGGGCGCTCGTCACTCGGAATGATTCTGGTTCGTTTTTTGTCACTCCGATTCGTGTTGACCAAAATGATTTTTTTGACCAACACGAATCCGAGTGAGTGCGAATCAGGCCGGCATGCTCCCCGCAAGCTACCTTGCTGGAGTCCGAGTGACAGCCGCCGGACTCCGCTTCACTCCGATTCGGGCGCTCGTCACTCGGAATGATTCTGGTTCGTTTTTTGTCACTCGGATCATTCGCGCTCATTACTGCGAAGGTCACCAAGTGAACACGTGAAGATGGCATTTTTGGGAAAGCAGATTAGATTTCGATTTTACATTAGCATACCTGAGTCAAGACCAAGCCAGGAGCGACGACGCCCTCCTCGATTTTCCAGGGGTTTTTCCAGCAGTATGGCGTTCTCAACTGTTACATTCTCAACTGTTTACACGATTTGTCATGCGAGACCACCTTCAAAATCGACACTATCAAGCTGCTTTGCATGGCAAATTCTCAGAGGGCGAAGCAGGATGATAATCCGTGCCAAATCTGTCATGCAAGACGCGCAAGGTCGCCCCGTTCACTCTTTCCATTCTTGCATCACAAATTCATGTAACACTTGAGAATGTAACAGTTAAAAACGCCATAAGCAGAAAAGCGACTCTGCCTCCAGCGGTACAAGCAGTGGCAACCGCCATCTGCCACTCCCGCCATTTCCGGTGTTGGATCTGGAGGAAAACTTTCCGCAACCTAGCATGAATGTGCCCAGCCACGACGGAATCGAGATCCGGGTAATTTGCCCGAAACACAGTTGCAGCGAAGACCAGACGAGTGGGGCCTTCACGTATTGAGAGGAAAAATCCCCCCTCCCCATATCGAAACGGTATGCTTCCGAAAATTTGTCTTGCTGATTTGAGACCACAAATCACGTCTGTCTTGCCAGAAGACAAGTACACAGGCTCTGCCGCATTACGCAGGCGGTTTGTGATGCTGTTGGGCCTACAGCATAGACGTTTCCCATGCTAAGCACCTAGGCAAAAACCTCTCCGCTCAGGCTTGGCAGGAGCCTGCAGTCCGCCATTGCAAGACAGATCTGATTTGTGTACGCAAATCCAGCATCAGAAACTTCCTTTTGATATGGGGAGGGGGGATTTTTCCTTTTGATATCACGAAAAAAGTGCTTACTGTGCTTGGCAGTGCAGCGAGCGGGGCTGCAGCGGAGACCCTGAGCTTTCAGCAAGTCGCGGCGAGCAGTGGGACGGCGGGGGAGGAAGTGTTTGTGATGGGTGGGACGGGCAGCGGAGAGCTGTTCTACTCTTAAGTAAACAGGGGCTGTAAAACTAGTTTTTTCATCCCGTTGGAGGTGGTAGGAGAGATCTTCAGTGAAGTTTTTTGCAGCTGTCAGTCCACTTCATATATACCGTCGATCAAGAGGAGGATCTCCAGCTGCGGTGCATTCGTCTGACAACTCCACTGAACGAAGGAGATTTTTTACCGAAGGGAGGACTAAGTATGTCCATTGCAGCTAACCTTTTAGAGAAGACAGAGATACATCGAAATTGTAATTGTAATTCAAATCGAAAACCAAAAGCATGAGATTGTGACTGAAACATTTATGTAGCAGATGATGAACATGAACCCCGCCTCGAAGGACAGGCAAGTACAGAATTGATACAGAACCCGCCTCGAGCGGAAGCTCACAAATCAGAAATTGATATTCTCACATGGAAGTTGTCGCTTTTTTTCACTTTACATTTTTTTCCAATTATATATAGATTGCACAGGCCACGATTGATTCAGGCATGATAAAAGAGGTCGTCCGGGAGCGGGATGAACAATGTGGCAATTGGCAAAGGCTCTGTAGTAGAAAAATAACTAGCTCACGCAACAAATAAACGTCGCATCAAGTAGTTCAACGAGATAGCCCTACTTAGAAGTTTCATTAATAATTCCAATGGGAACGATTCCGCCGCGGGCGGAGGCGGACCAGCTACGATTGCGAACGGAACGGTTATTATTATTAATTCACCTGCTATAATGAAGATGTCCACCAAGAAAGAATTAAGTATATGTTTCGGAATAGTAAATGCAGCGGTAAAAAACCGATAGCTCAGCGAGCAAGACGTGCTATGAAAATGAAGATGCGCGTCACCATTTCCGCAGACGCGGCATAGAGACACATGACAGAGACACAAATTCAAATGAAGCGATGAAACATACAACATGCGTGATCGTACCACGTTCACAACGGCAGTACCACTGTGTGGAAGCGGGTCGATCATTATTACTCAGGTGCTGCAAAAAAGCAGCGTTTTGAAGAATCAGCCAAGATTTCTATGCCTCTTTCCCCTCCTCCTGAAGTTCTTTTGTCTCACGTTGTTTGTTGATGTTGGCTTTTCTTGCTGATTATTTTATGTACAGAGTAAAGCGCGCTCCGAGTCGACGAGAGCCAAAAGCAAAATTACACGGAGAGCAATAAAGAGAGCAGAGGGGGGGGCGGTAGCTGCCCGTGGTTTTAATAATATATACTGGAGCGTCAACAAGCTCAAATCGTGGAGCGGTCGTCTACTGTGTGGTCAGACGCGACAGTGCAAATTGTGTGTTTCTGCTTCGTTGGACTTCTCCACCCTAGATGAAGATGTTGAAAAACAATAAACGGTAAAGTACTACGAAGCGAAAGTAGAAGTACAACAAGCCAACCGCAAATGTTGACATAAATCCAGCGGGTCTTCTCGTGCTGGTGCCTGTCGCACCGTCTCCATCCCCGTCCTGTTTTTGGGAACCCGGTGGGCACAGCACGAGCACCACTCCGCAGCAAAGGCCGTTGTGCAGAGAGACTTCAGATTTTACCTCCTGAAGTAGCAAAACCCGCAAGTAAAAGAGCATGTTGAACGTGGGCCCCCGTACGTTCAATGGCGTGCCGTACCTCGCCGGCGGTCCCAAGAAGACCACCGCCGAAGAGGAACGGATCCTAGCCCTGCGGGCAAACATCGAGAAAGAGGACAAGGAGCTGCAGCAACTCATCGCCGAACGGGATCGAAGAAAGGATTTGAAGGAAAGACGTGAGATTCGGGCCAGTCTGCTCAAGTACAACCAGAAAATGGCCGAGTACGAGAAGCGCACCAAGTCGCTCTCCGGTTCCCGCTCCTTCGGCGAAGATCCAAGTCTACACGACCCGTCCGGCCAGCCAGATGACGGCGGAGACAAGGAGGTATCAAATGCAAATATGTCAGAAACTTGTGGTGCTGATACTTGCAACACAGGGTGGTTGCTTGTACGGCATAACAGCATGAGAAGTTTTCATCCTCGGCTTCTTGTGCATTCATTCGTAAATAGCATGACAAACTGTCTTCCAGCACGACAAAAAAACTCGCCTATCCTCTTCATGCATCACACAGCTGTCCTTCAAATTTCGCATCACAAATCCAGATCCAGAAATATTTGCCATGCATAGGAGGATTCGGACGACGATATCGATCCGAAAACGGGGAAAAAGAAGAAGAAGGACGCGATATCAAATGTAAAAATGTCGGGGTGGGGAAACTTGTGATGCTGAGTGGCGTCTCATGATGAGGCCACAAATGCTGGCTCAGCATGACAAGTTTCTGAGTTTCTAGGTGTTGCCTAGTGTGCATGACAAACTGCGTTTCTGCATCACAGAAAAATGGAGCTCTTGGGTAACTAACGTGCTGCATGACAGATTTAACTGTCATGCCAGACAAGCATGACAAACATGCATTCTCCCACCTGACCCAGACATTTTTGCACTTGATACGCGAAAAAGAAAGGCAAGAGCGCGGCAAGGAGTCTCGCAGAGTTGAAGGTCGCACAGCAACAGGAAGAGGAAGAAAAGTACAAGGTCAGCTTTCTGCGCGAAGCACAAAAGTTGCGCGATGAAGTGGTCCGAGACATGCAGAACGCGGCGACGACCACCGAGGCAGCGAAAATTGCCGGCAAAGAGGTGCTGATTTTTTCATTTTTTCGTTGCGTGCGGCATGACAAATTCAAAATGTCGCAGTGCTACTTTTCGCAAGACAAAATCGGGGGATGGAACTACTCTTCACAAGAAAGCTGTATTTCTTTTGCTTGTAGTTGTAATGCTAACACAGTAAAACAGGTTTCCTCCGATTACGCTGAGTTTATGCGGGGCCATATGGAATGCAAATATGTCTGGGTCTGGAAGATTGCCAGGTTTGTCATGCATATTTTGCATGACCTATGATGTCTGTGATGCATGCCCTAGCATCACATATTTTTAGAGGACTTTGCGATGCCTCTACCGCATGAGAAATGCCCTCTCTGCATAGCACAAACTGGAGTGCTCTTCTTGGTCATGCAATACACATTTTTTTAGAATCCAGAGACAGCATTACAAGTTTAGCATCTTCCAGACCCAGACACTTTTGCAATCCATAGGCCAGGCGGGTATGGCCAGACACCTGAAAGACGGGGCACCGTGGTACTATGCATTGCAAACATTATCGATCTGGTGATCTGAGTTTGTCATGCGGGATTTGAAGGACAAAAAAGATCTGTGATGCGTGACTACGAGTACTATCTACAAGTGGCTATAATTTTGCGATACGTGTATGATCAGCAACACAAATAATTTCCAGGCCCTGATCGATACTTGCAATGCATAGGTACCGACCGGACGTGATGTTCCGACTGTGGTTGATGAAAAAGCGGTATCAACTGCAAACATCCCTGGATGTCGGGAAGAATGCCAGACTTGTCATGCAGGTTTTCCATGACCCATGACGTCTGATATGTAGGACATAGCATGACAGATTCTGTGAGAGTTCTATCATGTTGCCTACCCTGCATCAGAAACTGCCTCTCGGTTAGGTCAAAAGTGGACAGCATTTGGTAATCATGCTGCACAGATTTACTGTGCACGATTCAGTGTTAGCATGACAAGTTCGTTGGAGAGTTCCAGACATCCAGGGTGGATATTTGCACTCGATAAGTGGTTTCAACAGTACGAGCAGTCGCTCGGGATCCGAAAGAAGGGCCGCGTCCAGCGGATGGTGGAGTCGCTGGGGTTCGACCTGTTTTTCGGTTTGATGATCTGCGTGAATGCGTTCACGATCTATCAGATGCAAATATGTCTAGGTCTGGATGAGTGCAAGTTTGTCATGCTTGTCTGGCATGACTCGAGAATCTGTGTTGCATAGGCACGAAAAAGCCCCCGTACCTGTCATGCAAAAACGCAGCTCGCCATGCGGAATACGTAAGACATGGCAGCCAAAAAATTTGTCATGCATAGCTGCGTATTGCAGTGCGTCTGTCATTCCCCTTTAGCATTACAAGTTTCCAGACCCAGACATTTTTGTAATGCATACGATCGGGAGCGGAGCGAAATACCGTGAGGGCGAGGAAAAGCCGTCCAACGTGACCATGACGGAAAATTTTTTCACGGGGCTTTTTGTCGGCGAGTTTTTACTGCGGGTGCGCGCGTTTGGGATCATCTGGGTCTTCGACGCCTGGAATTTTATGGACTTCCTGCTCGTGTGGGTCACCGGGGTGCTGACCCTGTGGGTGCTGGATATGGGACTCTCAAACTTTACATTCTCAACTGTTACATGATTTTTTTGTGATGCATTGCAGCAATATGGGAAGGGGCAAGCTTGCGAGTCTCGCATCACAAATTTGCAACAGATTTCGATGCTGTTTGACCCTTCGAGAATTTGTCATGCGAAGCACCTTAATCTCCTGGCGACTTATGGGAATTTTGCATGACAAAGCACGTAACAAACTGTGACAGTTGATGAGGGTGTATTAACGTTTGAGAGCCCCATACTGGAGCCCGCGGGCATGGGCCACCCGATTTTGCGGGGTCTGGTGGTCTTCCGTGTGTTTCGCCTGATTCGTATCCTGAGGAAAAACGTCCCCACCCCAGAGTTGTCATGCAGATTTGCAACGACAAGGACATCTGTGATGCGCATGCCCATGGTAGACATTTCCAATCGTGTTTTGAAATTTGTGATGCTGTGAACAGGATAAGCAGATGGATCTGTGATGCGGCTGCACTTGCTAATCTGCACTACCCTACGGAGTGCAACTTGTCATGCGTGACTCCCAAAAGAACTCATAGGTTTGTGTTGCAAAATCCCCATCTTGACTGTGGGGTGGGGACGTTTTTACACAGGATAATTCGCGTGGCGAAGGAGCTGCGCATGGTACCGATCTTCAAGGAGCTGTGGATGCTGGTGCAGGGCATGTACGGGTCCCTCACCTTGATCATGTGGATCCTCACAGTCGGCGCGGTGCTGCTGGTTTTTTTCTCCATCTTTTTCATGGACCTGATATCCTACGTAA